TTTTTCTTAATTAAAGTCAGAATTCTGACTTAAATTAAGAAAAAAAAGTCAGAATTGAATAGTTTTTTTTTTCTTTTGAATGGCCCTAATCCTCTTCCATAAAGAGCAAACGGAACGAAAAGATAAGGTAAGAGAAAAATTGATTCAGAATGCAGGTCATTTAACCTGAATTGGACAAACGATATTTTTTTTGTTCAATGTAAAGAAAAGGCTGTCTGTGTCATCTGTCAAGAAGCGGTGGCGGTATTCAAAGAATATAACCTGCGGAGACAGTATGACTCCCGTCATAAAGACATACATTTCCTCATAAATTTAGGCCCTCTTGCAATCGTCACAATTTTTCTGTTTCTGTTACAAACTGACCCCGGCCCCCCATCAGAGAAGGGAAAAGTTATGTGGCCCTCACAGGAAAAAGTTTGGGGACCCCTGTTATAGAGTATTTGAGATATAAATCCTGTCTCTTAGTCAATAAATAAAGTTGGACCAAACTGAAATATTGAGTTTTACAAAAGTATGATGTTTATAGTCTCTGGAATAATCAGTCAAGGTAAGGTAAACATATTATTTGGAATATTTGTAAATGGACATTCATGATTCAGGAACAACACATGTTTTTATTTCTTAANATTCATGATTCAGGAACAACACATGTTTTTATTTCTTAATTTAAAGGAAAAAATGGGCAGTTTGAACCAATTCAGAAGTACAACGTAAGTAAATGTGATAAAATCATAGTTAAAATAGAACTGTAAGGGTGAAAAATGAATGAGATGGAAAAAAGGAAAAAATCTGTCATGATGTTTCAGTGAATATCATAATAATACATTAGGTCATAGGACCATTACAAGGCCCTGAACCAGTTCTACAGAGGCACTGGCCCCTGGTGGCCCCTGTTTAGACCCGCCTATGTCTGCATATATGTAAAAGCAACAAAAAGCTCAGTCAAGAAATAGCCAAAATTTTCATATACGTACTTAAGCATCCTTCTAATGTCGCCCTGAGCAACTCCCCATATGATTCATGTGAAAAATTATGAATTTTAAAGTTCTCTAACAAATCTCTACCTTTGTTGATGAACTAGGAGTCCTCTGAAGAGGACCTATTGTTTGCAGTGGCTTTAAGGATCCTATAACGATCTGAATCTAATCTCACGCCGCACTTTTCAGATTTTTACTAGTATTCTCTTATATCTTCTATCAACTTATTTTAAGAGAGGTGCATATATGACAAATGAGAAAATATACAGGCTGAAGGATGACATATTGGTTAAGACTCTCAGCTCTAAGAGGGGAATGGTGGCTCTGAAGGATCAGACACTTTTATAATTAGCCCTTGTGGTTTTAAAAGTGTGCCAGTGGCTCCCTCTAGTGGTACTGAACATTTTTGTAGACTTAAAATATTTACAGTCCTCTACACAACCATCCAACTCGGGAAATTTTAAATCCATGTTGGGAAAAAGAAAAGAAAGAATTGAGGAGTTTTGGATGGATAATTGAAAACAAAATAAAAGAATTTAATTTAGAAATCACTCAGAAACTAATATCAGTTATACCACCATGGATTCTACCAGAAGCAATAGTAGATAAGTCACTAATGGAAAAGAAATAAGATAAATCGTAAATGGTAGATATTAATTTAGTACAGTTATTAGTACAGGTGCATCAAAAATAACAAGGAAAATTGGAATAGCTTTTGTAATACCAGAATTCAGTCTAAAAATAGGAAAATGAATTTCAGATTGATTATCAGCATACACAGGGGAAATGTTGGCAATATTATTACGGTATCTTTACAATGGGTAGAAGACATAAAACCATTAAAAACAGATTTAACCTCTGCATTATTAAGTTTAAAATATAATCAATCAGATAGTAGGATGGACATTCTATTAGATATATTTCATACATTATTCAGAATAGAAAATATGGGTTTGATAGTTGTATTTGTGGGTTTCAGCACATTTTGGAGTAGAAGGAAACGAGAGGGCAGATAAAATGGCAAAGAGGACAATTCAAAATCCTATTAGTTTTACAGTTAAAACAAGTAAATCAGAGGGAAAGAGTTTTATTAAAGAAAATCTGATGGAAAAAGGCAAAAAAGGTGGAATGAAGAAAAAACAGGAAAATGGTTTTATAAAACTCAGAAGATGGTAGGAAAAAGAAATGGAAGATGAAATACAAAGGAGGAGAGCGTGATAACAAGGTTAAGATTTGGGCATACAGGACTTAATCATACACTTTTCAAAGTGATTACTGTGGAAAATCTGAATAAATAGATCATGTTATACTGGAATGTCATACATATGAAAGTGAGAGAAGATACATGAGGAGAGAGTTTGACTGTATTAAGGAAAAGATTCCTTTATTAGATATTTTGAGGGAGAATTTGAGGAGTAAACATATACCAATAATTATTGGATTTTTAAAGAAAACTAAATTATTTCATAGAATTTGATTATAGAGAGGGTGAATGTGTGTATGATATAGACGAGTAGAATACAAAGTTATGTATAAGTTTGTAGTTTTTATTTTATTTTTTCCCTTATAAATCATATACATGTTTATTAGTAGATAGTCCATCATGAACCACACTCCATACCAGTAATTTGCGGTAATGCTACTAAATGTTTGTTGCCAACCACCAATAAACAAAGAAGAAGAAGCCCCCTCTACAAGAGGGGTCTGCTACCTTTCTTATCCAAGGAGCCGTTTTGCCTCGATTTCCACCAAGTAAAACTTGTTCAGAGCCGCAAATTTAATTATAACATGACTTTTTTTTTTTTAAACAACCTTTTTTTAATTATCTCAAAAATCAACAATTTATGTATTTTTTGCTTTTAAAATAATATTAAAACACAAAAGTTTAAAGCTAAGTATAGGAAAAATGGCTCTTAAAACATGTTCTGGTTCATTTAATCTTATTCTTTTCCATCTCATAAAAAAAAAAACACCAAAGCTTTTAATACTGGTATATAAAATAATACATTATTTAGCTCTTTATATACATTTTAGCCACTATTAAGAGCAGACCGTCTCGCTAACCAGCAGTCCACAGACTGACCAACTTCATCTATCTCCACTCCACCACCAGTTTCAGGCCTTTGGGGGGAAACAGCCCTCTTTTTTACTCCTGTTTATGCACATCCATTGACAAAGTAATTGTATCAATACATTTCTCCTGTCTGTCTTTTCTCTTCTTGTGAGTTTTTCAGATTGAAATAAATAAATAAATCTACCAAAAGCCACAAATCACCATGACAGATTTTCACCTTCCTGCAGAAAACACCACTATAATGTGTATTACTGTAACTTTTAGACATTGATTGTCAAACTAAGCTGAAAAATTTAAAGGAAAAAAATCTTCTTCTAGAATTTATTGGTGGTTGGCAAAGAACTATATGGTGCATTACCGCCACCAACCAGTAAGGAGTGTGGAATCAGGACAAACATGCTAAAAAAAAAACGATATTCTTTTCGCTAAACCTGTCACCAATAAATAATGAAACATAATTCTATAACCTTAATCGTAAGTGCTTTTCCTTAAACTATTTATTAAGATAATACTGCTCGTTTTCCTTTTCAAGACTCCTTATCAGCTGTGTTCTTTGTCTTTGATATTTCCTACAGTTATGCATAACATGTTCTATCGTTTCAGATTCCCCACATACATTGCAGCTTCCTGTTTCATGTTTTCCCATTAACTGTAGTCTTTTTATTATCCTTTCCTGTATTCTGCTCCTCCCAATTTGCCCTCAAACTTCCCCAACCTTCCTTTGTATTCTGTAAGGCCATCTTCCTTTTATATCTTCTTCCTGCTGTTTTTGCCATTTTTCTTCAATCTTTCTTTTAATAATACTTTTAACCTGTGATTTACTCATGTCAATTCTTATATCACCCTTACTTTTGTTTATCAACTCTTTAGCTTTCTTATCAGCCATTTCATTATGTGCAAGAACCCAAAGAAACACTACTGTTAACCCCATCATCTGAATATGATATTTGTTGAATTTCTAATAAAATAGCTGGACGGCTTTCTGAATGATTTCTTTGTAAACTGATCAATGAAGAGCTTGAATCTGAACATATTACAGCTCTTAGTGGTCTCACTTCCTCAATCCATTCTACATCAACTAACAATACAATAATTTTTGCCGTATAAGCAGATAATCAATTTAATTTCCTCCCTATATGCAGTTTAAACTCCTTATACATTTTTACATAATTATAAAATTGTTCTATATATTCCTCCACTATTATGGAGTTACATATATACATTTTATCTCTATTTTTCCTTTCCAATATTGTTAAATCTACTATTATTTCAGATGAAATCCAAGGTGGTGTTATTGATAATGGAACTGTTTTACTAATATTTAAATGATGTAATCCTAATTCTGTTGCTTTCTGAATAATTGTCCAACCAAATGACTTATTATCAACTCTTTCTTTCTCACTGCAGGAATGTAAAGTTACCTGGGTAGGATGCATGGATTGAGTCCTTGCAAATTAACCCAATAATTGAACAACAGTTGTATTCTTCTCAGTGCAAACGGTATTTCACCCACCTCCACCTGTAGAGCTGCTGCTGAAGTTGTCCTAATTGCTCCAGTTATCAAACGCAATGCTTGATATTGTATGATGTCTAATTTTTTAAGTACCGTCTCCGATGCTGATCCATGCACTATACTTCTATAATCAATTGTAGACCTAATTAGATTTATATAAACTAATCTTATAGCTTTCCTATCTGCTTCCCCATCCATACCCAACTAAACATCTCATTAAGACCTAAGTATCTTTTTTAATTTTTTAATAACCTTATCTACTATCTATTATCTTACTTTCCAAAAGAGCAAATAAAGTATATGTTTAACCTTTTGTTTTGCTAGTCACATTTCCTTCCAGACAGCAGCTCTGGAGGGCAGAGTAATGTCAGCTGTCTGCGCATCGCATCTGCGCATGCCCAGTCCAACGGCGCATGCGCAGTCCGCCCGGACGCTCACTGATTTATAAAGCCCCGAATCGCTCCGTCTCCTTCCACCTTCAGCCATTTTAACCATGTTAGGAGCTGTGGGACGCTGTTGCACCGGGGCTTTGCAGGCTCTCAAGCCTGGGGTCCAGCCCCTGAAGGCCCTCGTCGGATCCCCAGCCGTCCTTGCTCGTGAGTCCCCTGCATGCCGGGCGATTATTTTGAGAGAAAACCGCGAGAAAATGGATTTTAATCTGCGAGGGCAGCTGCAGCGTTAGCTCGAGCTAGCAACACGCTGGCTACCCTACCGGTGACGGTGTAGGCCTCTGTGATAAAAGGGTCAATTTTTAACTTTATTTTGACCTACTAGGAAACAGAAAACGCGCTTATGCTGCCCTTAATGTATTTTGAACTGTTTTATTGTATTAAAAAGCAACAAGCTGTGCAGTTCATAATGTTATCAGAAATGACCTTTGTGAAATGACATGGGGCGCTGCTAGGCTAGCAGGTTAGCAAGGTTACACCATCCTCTGCAAAAAAGACAACGTTAAACAAACTATTAGAATCAGCAAATAGGAGCTATATGTATATAAAACATGTTTTTGTAAAGTAGTTGGCTTCAGAAATTGTTTAGTCATTCATTTGTCATTCATAACATTGCCTTCCAATGAGGCGCTGTAGTTTGCTAAATCCTAATAATCAGATTGTTGTGGTGCTGCAGAAAATCTAGCTAAAGATAATATTAGCAAGTAACGGTGTTTAACCTGCACTCTGGATGTTTCCATTTACAGGCAGAGACTATGCTGCTGCTCCTGCGGCTGCTGCAAGCGTCGCCACCGGCCGCATCGTGGCTGTCATCGGCGCCGTGGTCGATGTCCAGTTCGATGAGGGCCTCCCTCCCATCCTGAACGCCCTAGAGGTCGCCGGCCGCGACTCCAGGCTAGTCCTGGAGGTGGCTCAGCATCTTGGTGAGAAATCTGGATTGTAACTTTCCAAACGCATTAAAAGCAATCCACTGGACTTTGTTTCAGAGTTCCCTTTCGCTTCCCATCCAGGAAGCTTTTCAATTCAAAATGTGAGGAATAGCGTTGAGTCCCAGGTTTTATTTTTTTTTATTTTATTAAATCAACATAAATGACAACACAGGATGCATTTACAGAGATAATATACTAACCCAAAAGCCTCCCTCACACGCATTCACTTTAATTTATCCATTCATTCGTCCACAAATTACTTTTTCAGAATAAACATTTGAGAACTTCCCATCAGTTTTTATATTTTCTGGCTTCATCGGTTTTAGCCATATATCTTTTTTAAAGTAAAAAAAAGGCTAAATGTTTTAAAGAAATTAATACTAAGTGAAAATCTGCTTTTGGCTTTAAAGATAAAACTTTTACCAAGTACAATGGTTAAATAAAATTAAGTCAGGACTGTTGATAAATTCTCCCAGTAAAAGAGAAACTCCTCAAGCTTCAATCAATCCTTAAATACATTTTTTCAACTTCCACCCATAATAGACCATACCAAAACAAATGCAGGGTGGATTCAGACTTTTGACAACAGAAACTGCGATCATCTGTCATATTCCATAGCTCTAACTTTTTTTCAAGTGGGTAAGAAATTGTATGATTTTAAAGGTTAAACATATACTTTAAGCGAAACCTCTTCAAACTTGAAAAACCAAGTCCAGTGGATTGCTTTAAATTTTTTTGGAATTACTATGACCTGGATGACTGAGAACATTCACCAGCGTCTGGATTATAACCTTACACAAAACAACTTCATGTTTTTGTGAACTTACCGGAAACAAACTTCCATTTACAGGGGAGAGCACAGTGCGAACCATCGCTATGGATGGTACTGAGGGTCTGGTTCGTGGACAGAAGGTTCTGGATACTGGTGCCCCCATCAGAATCCCAGTTGGCCCCGAGACCCTGGGCAGGATTATGAATGTGATCGGAGAGCCAATTGATGAAAGGGGTCCCATTACTACCAAACAGTGGGTCTAAATAACAAATATATGTTTAAATAAACCTGTTCAAAACAACTTCCTTGTCTTGGAAATAAAAATGTTTAAATCTCTGCTTCCTAGGACTGCACCTATCCATGCTGAGGCTCCTGAATTTACAGACATGAGCGTGGAGCAGGAGATCCTGGTGACTGGCATTAAGGTGGTGGATCTGCTGGCCCCTTATGCCAAGGGAGGAAAAATCGGTATGCATTGGCATGATGAAATGCAAGAAAACCTTTCGTTGTCCAATAAAACAACTTCTAGAGAACAGATAACTGGACACCTCAAATCTAGAGATGCTTCCAAAACGGGTTCTTTATTTCTATCCTCACAGTTGCTGGAAATTGCTCTCATTTACCAGCTGATTTGAGTGCATCTCTACTATGAGCTTTTTGGATGTTGACATGCTAGCTTAATAGCTAACAAACAGAAATTCAAGGGAGGGAATCAGCAATTTGGCCTTGTTTTTTAAAGTTTAATCTGGATGAAATTGAGCATTTACATATCCTTTCGTTTGGGATCAAGTAATCTTCAGGTTTTCCTGAGCGATGTTGGTTTGGATCAATCTGATCCAGATACCCAGTTTGGGAGGATCACAAATTCCAGATTTTCTGCAACAGGACAACTTCTGTGTTGCACATCAACCAGTGAAATGAGTTTTTTGCATCCGTTCTGCACTCTGCTTTGTTGCAGAACCATGTCCGATTGAAATTGGGAAGTGTTTTATGATTCTTTCGTCTACTTGGCTGTAGACTCGTATTAAAGAAGCTGTACAGGCTATATAGCCTACCTGATCTCATTAGGGTGATTATTGAACAACTGAAAATAAAACCTTATGGATATATGTGTTGATTGTAGACTGCCCAGCATGATCCACAAGTGATTTTTTTTATTTTTTTTTAATTCAATTTAAAAGTTTCATTAGACTTTGGTGCTAAAATCCAGACTGAATCCACTTGTCATACAGGTTCAGTTTAATCAATCTCTTGATTTCTTTATCTAAATCCATAAACTATTTTTTTTTTATGTTGGGATAACTTTATTTATAAAAAACATTTTCAGGAATTGAATCGTGATTCTAAATCATAGAGGATTTTTTTTTTTAAACCAGGACCTTGTACATGTGATAGTAGTTTGCAGGATCAAAATAACCACTTCAATTATATCTTGCTCATGTTTTTAAAAGCAAGGTTTGGTTATTTTAAATTCCCAGAAACTAATGTCACAAGGAAAAATTTCGCTGTTAATCGATGAATGGAATCGCACAAAGAAAACCCACTGGACTGTCCTGTTGATGCTAAGCTAATGCTCCAGTCCTGCATTGTTCTGCAGCATAGAAACACTTTTCTTTATTTCTCCCAGGCCTGTTCGGTGGCGCCGGCGTAGGAAAGACTGTGTTGATCATGGAGCTGATCAACAATGTGGCCAAGGCCCACGGTGGTTACTCCGTGTTCGCCGGTGTGGGGGAGCGTACCCGTGAGGGAAATGACTTGTATCACGAGATGATTGAGTCTGGTGTCATCAACCTGAAGGACACCACCTCCAAGGTTGGGTTTGGCAGGATCCTTTTAGAAATGGTATCTCTGACATTGGCGTATTCTTAGGAGGGTTTCCTAATGTTGTTGCTTTCCCCTGTAGGTGGCGCTGGTGTACGGACAGATGAACGAGCCCCCAGGTGCCCGTGCCCGAGTGGCTTTGACTGGACTGACTGTGGCCGAGTACTTCCGTGACCAGGAGGGTCAGGATGTGCTGCTTTTCATCGACAACATCTTCCGCTTCACACAGGCTGGCTCAGAGGTCTGCAACGTTTAATAAATTAACAGTAAATGTGGATTTTAACTCCAAATATTCCAATTAAATTGACCCCATCCCCTCTCAGGTGTCTGCCCTGCTGGGTCGTATCCCCTCTGCTGTGGGTTATCAGCCCACTCTGGCCACTGACATGGGTACCATGCAGGAGAGGATCACCACCACCAAGAAGGGTTCAATCACATCTGTGCAGGTACAGTTTTAGCAGCACAATGTCTTTGTTGCACTTTTTTGAAGATTAGTTTGTACTTATCCTCTGCCCTCTAGTGGAGGACAACAATATTGCATGGGGCTTATTTGTTCATATGTTAATTATACACACTATAAAATGATTTTCATTGTGTAAAAATACACTACACTTTTATAATAGCAGTAACCAACGATCTGAACAACCAGTGATGGAGGGATGAGGCATATTTGAGTCATGCTACTTCATAGAAGATGTTGACCTTTTGTTTCTTGAATTTTAAAACGTTGTTTAAATTGCAATGTATAATTATTTACTAAAGGGCAAAAAAATAAAATACAATTTGAATCAAATTAGTTGGTATGTCCTATACTAACTAAGGAAAAAGGTGCAACAAATTTTTACTTTTAGGAACTGAGGAAAATCTCTACAGAAAATGTTATCCTTTATAAACATGTAAAAAAAAAAAATGGCAGATAGTGGCGTCTTAACACAAAGACAAGTTGAGTCCCGTCTACTACAAGGTAAAGCCCTCTGTACAAAGGACGTTCATGTATGTTAAGGGAAAGAACTGCATTATGTGTAAAACTGCAACATGCATGGAGTTCTTTCCCATGTTCTTAGTACCCGATTAGCTGGAAAACTATTATAACCACTTGACTCCAAATGTAAAATTGATGCTAAGTCATTGTATAAACGGTGTCTTAATGCTAGGTCAAAGCTCAAGCCTAAGAAATGCAGTCAGCAGCAGGTTCCATCATGCGTATATAGGAGGCAACTGAGCTTATTAAATAGAAATACCAGAACTGAATTTTTGCAGCAGTAAGTTGAATTCATTAAAAATATTGTGGATCCTCAAACTGTTGGCTGAACCGTCTTTGACATTTATACTTATTTTTATCTCTCCAGGCCATCTACGTGCCTGCTGATGACTTGACTGACCCCGCTCCAGCCACCACCTTCGCTCACTTGGATGCCACCACTGTATTGTCCCGTGCCATCGCAGAGTTGGGCATCTACCCCGCTGTCGACCCCCTGGACTCCACCTCCCGTATCATGGATCCCAACATTGTAGGAGCCGAGCATTACGACGTCGCCCGTGGTGTGCAGAAGATCCTCCAGGTTGGTGAATGGATTTTTTTATTTTAAATTTATTACTTCTGATTGTTCTTACAGTAACTGATTTCTCTTCTTGCAGGACTACAAGTCCCTTCAGGACATCATCGCCATCCTGGGTATGGATGAGCTGTCTGAGGAAGACAAACTGACTGTGGCCCGCGCACGTAAGATCCAGCGTTTCCTGTCCCAGCCCTTCCAGGTGGCCGAGGTCTTCACAGGTCACTTGGGCAAACTGGTGCCCCTCAAAGAAACCATCAAGGGCTTCAAGAGCATCCTTGGAGGCAAGTTCAGGAAAATTCTTAGAACTGTCCAGTTTGTCCTCAAGATCTTAAGACACCAAAAATAACCTTTCTCGTTTGTTGTTTTAGGAGAGTATGATCATCTGCCTGAGCAGGCCTTCTACATGGTTGGTCCCATTGAGGAAGTGGTCCAGAAAGCTGAGAAGCTGGCTGAGGAGCACTCATAAACACCTAAACATTCTGATTAGAGAGGGGGAGGGTCCTGTGGTTAGGAGCACTTGGTTTGTAAAACATGTCAACATACAAATGTACCTGTCTTGTCATCCTGAAGAAAGTTCTATTTAATGTTTCCAGAGAAAGATGGAATAAATCGCTGTCTTTACACAAACAGACTTGTCAAATGCATATTTCATAAGCTTTATTGTAATAGAGCTCTGTCCCTAGTGAGGAATCTCATAAAATGGTTGTCCTCTACCCCGACCACAAGATGGCGTACTCGAGCTGTTATTTGAAATGTGTTGCAGATTATGTTTGGAAATAAAACAAGACAATTAGAAACTTGTTTGTCTCCAACTTTAAAGGTGGTCACTTCACACGGTGGTACTACAGCTTAGAGGGATAATGCTTAGGAAACATTGGGAGGAGGCAACTTATTTGTAAAATGAACAGCATTATACATGTTTTAAGAGGTTTAGTGTAACTAGGTATTATGAAATGCTTGAAGCAAAGTGTCGAAACTGAAAAGCAAATATTAAGAGTGATACAGCAAGTAGACTACATGATTGCCTGTTTTAATCCACAAAGCATTTATTGAGCTTTCATTGCCATTTCAAAACGCTGAATTTACACCACTTAAAAAACTTAAATGAAGCAAAGTTACTTTTCCTAAAGAGCATTTGGTCCATTTTTAAACACCAAACCTCCAGGTGGAGGGAGACATGTTTGTATAAAAATGACAGGTCTTCTAGGAAGGCTTTAAAACTAAAGAGAGATACGGTCTTATGGTAAAGATGCTCCCTTTCAACTTGTGTAAAATTGCTCTCACCCAACAGTGGTGATATCAGTTGAATCTAATCTTGGAAGGCTGCTAAAGATTAAAATCCAACCCTTCCATGCCCAAAACAAACTATTGTCCCTTAACTGAAGCTCCTTTCTAAAGAATAGATGTGTGCCAGGGTGCACAACAGCAGTGATCTTGGAATCAAATGCTGTCAATCAAGTGGAAGACTTTGGCTATGTTCCCACTGCAGGTCTTGATGCTCAATTCTCAATTTTTTTTTGTGTTGCCCTTCCCAAAATTCAAATATTTGATCTGTGTGAACTGCAGCCATACAACGCAAGTCTCCTGCATATACAGTAGAGGACGCAATGACATCACAGGCTATCGTGCTCTGTGTTTATGGAAGTAAGAATGGATGGTAGTGCTGGAGCGCATCTAGCGCAGAATCTTTTCAGGCTGGTTAAAGATAAATACTGCTCTCCGCATCATCGTCTGCCAGGGTTCTTTTTCTTGCCACTTCTTCATGGAAAGACACAGAATAGTGACATTTGTTGGGTATTGATGGGGTTCAGGTTGAATAAATGCGACCTGGCCGTTCAGATGCAGGTTCCATTTGGAAAGATCAGATTATATCGGATTCAGGACCACAGAGCCAAGTGGCCTGGGTTGGGCCGCTATGGGCAAAAAAAAAATCAGATTTGGGTCACTTCAGGCTGCAGTGTGAACGTAGCCTTTGAGGCCATCAATGTCTGAGCAAATTCAAATAAAATAATCAGGCTCTAGTATTCGTCTGATTCCACTGTGAATATAAACACAGGTTTTAAAACGGATTTCCATTCTGGGCAATAAAATTTTTATAGAATGCTTCATTCCGAAAACAAGATGTTAGTCCTGCCGCAGCCTGATTAGTAATGATATAAGAAGTAGGCTGGGTGTTTTATTGCTTTTCCTTAACCTTCAACACCTGGCTATCATCAATGCTGAGCTTTCTTTGAACAGAGGATAAGGTGGCCTTGAGAATGTCCTTGAGACTAAACTTTGGCCTTGTCATTATAGTAAACAATTCAAAAACGTGTGAGCAGACTCCCAAAAGTATTACAATGAGCATTGCATGAAGTAGATGCACAGCTGGAGGGTTACTGTAACTTCTTGGCAATAGGAATGGCGGTCTTCAGGAAGATGTAGTCAACCACGCATGTTGGCATGTACGACAGCGGCAGCCAGAAAAACTTGGCGTCCCAACCGGGGGAGTAGCGCTTGCGCGGCCAGACAGCGGACACTGCGTGCTCCATGCAGCTCACCACCTTCATCAGATCACCGTCACTCATCTGGGCAACCTTTTCTTTTATCACCTCTTTTGCTAGAAAAACAAAAATAATCAAATGAAGCAAATAAGTTGAGAACGGTAGAAATGATGAGTGAAAGATTTCTGGTTACTTTTTTCGATGTAGTCAACCCCGTAGTCGTCTTTGACGTCCTGCGGCAGTCTGGCCCACAGCGTTTCTGCATTTTTGATGTGGATTTCGCTGTCTGTGACGCTAGTTTTGAAGAACCCTGGCTCAATGCAGAGGACTTTGACACCAAACGGAGCCATGGTGAACCTGAGAGGAATGCATTTGTATTCAAAACCAGAAAGCATGTAGTAGGCCTACACTGGCAGATTAGTCATAACACGGGTTAATATTTCACCGGAGACTATCGTTGAATGCCTCAACTCCGAACTTTGAGACAGGGTATGGGCCCCCAGTGACACAGATCCTCCCAAACACGCTTGCGACATTCACCACTCGGCCCCTGGCCTTCTTTATCAAAGGCAGGACGCTTAGTGTGGAGCCGATCACTCCGTTCAGGTTCACCTCCAGCATTAACTTGTAATCGTCAAGGGTATGCCAATCGCAAGGGCCGGAAGGAACAGCAATACCTGCATTGTTCACCACAGCCCAAAGACCTGAAAAGACACACATTTAATGTACAACTCAAAATAAGATTGCAGATTTTAAGTAGAAATTGTAAAGTATGCACAAACTCAGTGCACAAATTAATATTTGCTGATGCATATCTGTCCATCTAAAACCCAACTCACCGCGCTCTCCCACTTTGTCCTTAATCATGGCAGCAACTTTGGCCAAGCTCTCCTTGGAGGTAACATCCAGGTGAGTTGTGATGAGTTTTTCAGAGCAGGCCTTCCTCAGTCCCTCCTCTCCCTTTTCGGTGTAACATCCAGCGATCACTCGGAAGCCCAACTTGTCCAGATGGCGAGCCAGGAGGTTCCCGAAGCCGCTGTCGCAGCCTGTGACGTACACATACTTGCTGGCCTTATCGCCCACCCTGGGCACCTCCCTGATCCAACGGAACAGGTAGAAGAGGACGACCAGGCCAAGAAGATACAGGAACATGTCTGTAATTTAAACGGTTGTTCTTATTAGTTCCTGTATATCAACAGGAGCAAGCTGTAAAAAAATAAAAAACTTTGAGAAATACTTTTTTGAAACCTAAAAATTACAGTTACTGTAAGCTGTTTAGTTGTAGTACTTTTAAATGAAATATTTTAACCCAAACATTGCCATAATGTTTGCGTTGCAATGCATTCTGAGTAATTTATGTCTGCAAGGTCCTGTAGTGCTATCTACGCCTTGCCAAAACATCAGTTTGAAGCAGAGTGGGTTGAAAGCAGAGGTGTCCCTTAAGTACAGTTTTTAGGCATCTATACTTTAGTCCATTACTTATTTTTCTTCCTACTTCTGACTTCTACTCTTTACATTTTCACACAAGTAGCTATACTTTCTATTCCTTACATAAAAAAAAAATCTTTACTCAATACTCTTGGTTTCGGTTTAATGTTTACAAATATATATTTCAGGTCATGTGCACCATCCAATGCACATGACCTCGTGCACGTTTCAAATTTGCTGTTCTCATAGCTCATGCAAGCTTACTGTGTCCACATACAGCGGGGACTTAACAGGGGACTTTATAGTGAACTCAGTTAAAGTCGTAGTGAAGCGGCTGTTCCAACCGTTACATTTCCAAATTCTCTTGAGTGGTGTCCAAGTTTACAGGAGTGAATAAAGTGAATATGATTGGTTGTTTATCAAGGGGGCGGGATTGTTGTGGCGGAAGGTTCGCAAGCATGTTTGGTTGTGGCCGGTTTGTCGGAAGCATCTTGCTAATCAGTTAGCAACTTAGTACTAGCAGTTTCCCAATGGCAAATTACATTGTGACCAATTAGCACTTAGCAACGACACTGTCAAGGAACGCTATGGACAGCATAAAACATGCAGAGTTTTTTGTCGGAAGTCGTGGATACATTTTTTATTTAGAGGAGGAAAGCGGGGACGAAGATGTTGTGGAAGAGGACGCCAAGGTGGCAGAAGCTTGGTTTGGTGTAGAAGGCTTACAGCCGTACATGTTGGAGCCCTTGCCTCGCAACGCTGCCAGTTCTGTTAGCTCTACGCCTGCTGCAGACACAGACGTCCATCAACGTGAACACTGGGACGGAACTCAATGGGAAAGTAAATTATTTTTATTTCTTATTTCATCCGTTGCGTATACTAGCTGCGACATATGAATCAAGATGCTATGACCGAAAAAATTTGATTGACAGATGACCGTTGATATATGATTGGCTGAATTTAGGTGTTCAAGCTGACGTATAACTGGCCTGCATAAAATTACGGAAAAAACAGATTTTAAGACAGGACAGGGTTTTTTTGAAAATAGGAATTTTCTAAATTTTGGGACAATATGGTCTGATTAAGAATACATTTATATACATATTTAAGCCAGAATGATTTGACATTTAAATATGACTTCCATATGACTTAGAGGACGTCTGGTCATCCTAGTCAAGGGCACATTGGCGACTTAAGGGCGGATTATACTTCTACAACTCGCTTGTGTCTTGTTGTGAACCAGTTTTGCTGGTATGCTTCTGCACCGTCGTTCTGCAATTTCTAGGGATGGACAGCAGTTTCCCGCCAAAGCGCAAAGAGCCTATTCGAGAACTCGCAAGATCTTTGGCAGATGGTCACGAGAACTTCTTCGGCACCGCCTGGAGTGTTTATTTTCCAAAACAAGAATGGCCCGTCCAGAAGATATCACGGTCACGGAGATGGATCTAGAGTATCCATTGTTTTTATTCATGGTTTTCTAAAAATGACGCGTCCAGGCACCGAATCGAGAAGGACGACCACACAGACAGCCAGAAAGTTATACCAAGAACCAATCACAGCTGCTTTTTGTCTGCGCACTTCTGCTTGAGGTCTGTGCGGGTTTGCAACTGTCTGACATGTAGTCAAGATGTGCGCGACGACGGTTGCAGAGCCTCTGCGCGGGGGGCGTGGTCGCGCGCAGAGACAGATTTGTCGGTTGCACAGGCTATGCGTCAGAAGTATAAACAGAACAGAATGACATATAAAATCGTTTATGATTTTGCTAATTCACGTAAAAGACTGGGCTAAAATTAAGTCAATGAAAAAGATCTAAGGCCAAAACCAATGCGGACAAATGGACCCAGTCTGTTTTAATAGTGGTGTCTTTTATTTGACCATTTGCTGTCAGAAAAAGTCCCCAAAACATGGGTGACATGTTCTACCCCTGCGATAAAATCATACAGAAGGGACACAATTTTGATGATTCCTGGTGTGATTGGAGAGGCTTGAAGAGAGTCTTCATGTTCGAGAAACCATCCAATGTGGATAAATTCTTGCATTCTGGTAAGAACAGGTAAAAATTTCCCTAAATCAATGGAAAATGGCCCAA